AGAGATTGACACACACACACACACAAACACACACACATGGGGGAGGGGAAAGGAGTGAGAAAGCAAGCCCCCCGGGTCCAGGACTCAAACTAGGGTCAGCCATGTGGGAGTCCAGCGCCTAAACTATGAAGACACTTGCTGGCCCTCATAATCTTATTGAATTAATATTAAAATGCCTTTTATTGGGAGCCAGCAGGTGACATGGTAATTAAGGTACTGAATTCCCACATAGCTGACCATGGTTCAAGTCCCAGACTTCGCAGCTTGAAAATCACACTAGGTGTATGTGTGTGCATGCCCAAAATCCTGAGAGGAGAATGGACAAGAATGGATTGCAGTGTGACCATCCTCCCTGGGGGATGAGTTCTCATTTCCCCTCTCTGTGTTTCTGTCTCTCTCTGGTGAACATATACATCCTATGGCAAAATTGCTTTTTCTTTCACTCCACTTTTTGAGAGTTTTTTTGCTGCAGGGCACGTGCACTTGCCAGAAAGACAGAGAGAGACAGAGAGACAGAAAGTGAGAAATCACCCCCCAGGGGGGATGGCTAGGCTGCAATCCCTTCTCCTCCATTCTCCTCATGGGATCTTGGGCAGGCACGCACATCTGCCCAGCGTGAGTTTAAGCCACCGAGTCCAGGACTCGAACTGCGGTCGGCTACATGGGAGTTCAGGACATAGGCATTACACTAATTGCTGGTCCCCTCACTCCACTCTTTATAGAATATTAATACCAGGGAAAAATGCTTAGGAAACCCGATTTTGTCATGCTTATTTCTTACATGGTATAAAATAAAATTTTTAAAGAATTATTTTATTGGAACCAGCAGTTAGCGTAATTATTTGTAAAATTATTTGGTGAATACATATTAGCTATTTTCGTTCTTCAGATGATCATCAATAGCATGGTTATTAGTGAATTCTTTTTTTTTTTTCAGAGTTTTTTTTTTTGCTACAGGGAATGGGTGCTCACCAGAAAGAGAGAGAGACAGAAAGTGAGCAGTCACCCCCCAGGGGAATGGCCATGCCTCAATCCCTTCTCCTCCATTCTCCTCTTGGGATCTTGGGCACACATGCAGACGCGCCTGGCGTGAGTTTAAGCCACCGGGACTTGAACCACGGTCGACTACATGAGAGTCCAGCGACATAGCCATTATGCTAACTGCTGGTCCTTATTAGTGAATTCTTAAGAGACATTACTGTATGTTGAGTAATGAACTTAGAAAAGCCCCCAATGCCACTCAGTTCAAATTGAATTTCAGATTATCAAGTTTGAATAAAATCCATGATATAAAAGTTATATGAGAAAACTTCACCTACATTGTGTTTCTTAAACTTCATCAGGGAATTCATGCTAGAATAAATACTTGGGATTAGGGACTATAAATATATTAGGTTGTCAGAGAAGTCATGACATATTTTTCTGTTTTTCTAAGTGCCAGACCAGCTCGGCATGAACATGTTTCTCTGAGTGGGTAAGGCTGTGGATTAGAAATAGACACAATAACAAACACACAAAAGACACACAAGTATAGAAAAGCGAGGATCGAGTGGGCACAGCCTTTTTGATGGAGAAGTTGCGACCAGAACCAGCCTCAGGTTTATTCTTTTAAAGGGCAGAAAATGAGGGAAGGGGAAAATGGGATACAAAAGGAATGGGAAAAAGGAAGTGGAATGCAAAGAGAACAGAGGAGGCGGAATCAGAATGCAAAGCCAGTTGTTTTCGGATGTAAATCATCTGGAGATGTGAAAATGGCACCATATCATTTCTCTGATCTTTTTTTTGGGGGACAATCTGATAAATGCATTTGACTTCCTTTAGCTCAGGGTATTAGGAGTCAACAATAACAGGAAGATAACCATTGACAGCAGGCAGATATTGCTTTCGTATGTAGATGCTTCTCAATAGCCCGGCTAGGGTAGTTTATGGAAGCACACGTTTCTGCATGTGTCTACAGGTCACATGTTTTCATCACGTTTTCAGACTGGCTGCTCTCTACATCTAAGGAAAAAAGAGGTCAACAACCCAATATATAGAAAATATAGCTAGTGGGGCTGGCAAGTGGTATAGTGGTTAAAGTGCTTAACTCCATGTGGTCAACCATGGTTCAAGTCCTGGACCCAGTGGCTTGAAACTCACGCTAGGTGCATGAGAAACTCCCAAGAGGAGAATGGAGGTGAAAGGATCTTGACATGGTCATCCCCCCTGAGAGGTGATTTCTCACTTTTTGTCTCTGTCTCTCTGGCAAGCACATGTACCCTACAGCGAGAATCTCTCTTAAAAAAAAAAAAAAGTAGGAGCTGGCAAGTGGCATGATAGTTAAGGTGCTGGATTCCTATGGCCAACTGCAGTTTAAGTCTCATAACTGGTAACTTGCTTTTGTTACCAAACTCAAATCAGGTTCACACCCAAGTGCTATAAAGCCAAACTATAGGCACATGGTATGATGAAGGAAAGTACAGCTTTATTGCAAAGTGCAAAGCAAGGAGAGCAGGCAGCTCATGCTGAAAAGACCCGGTCTCTCCGAGATGTCCCCCTACATGTGTTTTTAAGGGCAAAATTAGAGGTAGAGGTCCCAGGCACATGATCAGTTCAATGATTGGTTCAAGAGGGCATGATCATCTCATGGGCATTCTTGATTGGTGAGGCCTTAGATAATCAAATTTCTCTGGAGCCATTCAGCCTGGAGTCTTTGAGCTCACAACCAGCAGTTTCCAGCCTACAAAACATCTTACATATTGAAATGAAAACCTTCTCTTTCCTGTGAGAGTTTTAGAGGTCAAATGGCCCTTATTTATGGTTCATATTGGTTATTATTATAACCAAAGTCTGAAGACCTACTCCTTACTCTGGGCCATTACAATGTAAATAGACTTTATATTTCAGGAACCCTAGAAAATACATTAGGGAGTTCTTGCTCAGTTTCACTTTCTCTCTGTCTCTCTTTGATCAAACTGAATAATAATAAATAAATAAATAATCATATTGGTTATTATTATAACCAAAGTCTGAAGACCTACTCCTTACTCTGGGCCATTACAATGTAAATAGACTTTATATTTCAGGAACCCTAGAAAATACATTAGGGAGTTCTTGCTCAGTTTCACTTTCTCTCTGTCTCTCTTTGATCAAACTGAATAATAATAAATAAATAAATAAATAAATAAATAAATAAATAAATAAATAAAATGAGAATTCTTTTTTTTAAAGAGAGATTTTTGGTATAGGGCACGTGCGCTCCCTGGAAAGATAGAGAGACAAAGTGAGAAATCACTTCCCAGAAGAGATGACCATGCTGTAATCCCTTCTTTTCCATTCTCTTGGGATTTTGGTTGGGCATGCACGTACACATGCCCAGCATGAGTTTTTCTTTTTTTCTTTTTGGAATTATTTAACTTTATTCATTTATTTATTTAAATTTGACTAGAGAGGGGGAGAGAGAGAGAGAGATTGAGAGAGAGAGAGAGAAAGTGAGCAAGCAAGGTGCCAAGTCCAAGACTCAAACCACGGTTGGCCATGTGGGAGTCCAGTGCCCTTAACCACCATGCCACCTGCTGGTCCTAACCTAGCATGAGTTTTAAGCCACTGGGTCCAGGACTTGAACTGCAGTCATCTATGTGGGAGTCCAGTGACATAATCATTATGCAATCTGCTGGTCCCAAGAATAATTCAGTGACATAACTATTATGCCATCTGCTGGTCCCATCATTCTTGCTGATATATCTGTCCAAAACATAAAAACTGCCCAAGTGTCAGTAAAAATTTAAAACTAAAATTGTATTGCAGGGCGCCAGTGGGTGGCGTGGTGGTTGTGGCAATAAACTCCTAGATGGTTGACTGCAGTTCAAGTCCTGGACCCAATGGCTTGGGGCTTATGCTGGTTGTGTGTGCATGTATGCCCAGGATTCTGGGGGGAGTATGGGGAAGAGAGGACTGCAGTGTGGTGGTCTCCCCTAGAGTTTCTCACCTTTCCTCTCTCTGTATCTACTTCTTTCTCTCTGGCAAATGCACACACCCTATGGCAAAAACCTAAAAAAAGAAAAAAAATTGTGTTGCAGGAATAGCAAAGGATAGTGTAAAGATTTATACTTGGGCTTCTTCTTCTACAGGAGAGAACTAACATCCTGAAATATAATACTAAGGATTGAGAAAACTGACATTATTTATGCTTCAGTTGCTAAAGGATAAATCAATCTAAATGAGTAGATATCTCTTTTAGGTTTATTACAGAAGAAAATGCAGATGATCTCTTTAAATTATTAGAGTATACGGGCGTAGTGGCGCCCACCCTATGGTAAATTATTAGAGTATTTATTTTTTCTCCTTTAAATTAAAACAAATTTGGAAGTAAAAACAAAATTAAATTAATTTTAAAAAAAACTATCTGATATTAAGTGTAAACTGTGATTAACAGGGGCATGTGTGTGTGTGTGTGTATGCTCAAAACCCCGGGAGGAGACTGGAGAAGGGATTGCAGCATGGCCATCCCTGCTGCAGGGGTAATTACTCACTTTCTATCTCTCTGTCTCTCTGGTGAGTGCATGTGCCCTATAGCAAAAATCTCTCTCTAAAACGACAATCAGAAAAACTTATCACTAGCAAGTATCCCTAAAATTGTCATAGATATAGGATTTTCTTCCAAGAAAAATTCTCTGGTTTTGTGTAAGGATTGAGCAACTGCTAAAGGCCTTTTTATATTTATTGCATTCATTAGTTTGAGTGGCTAAAAAAACCTCCTGTATTGATTACATTTAAAGCTACTTCTCTCCAAAGTGAATCATTTCATGTTGAAAGGTTTGAGATGTTTGGCAGTATCGGCCAAAGATGAATGAACGTACATAAATACACACACACACACACACACACACACACACACACACACACCCTAAGATGTAAATGAGAATATTTATAGCGGTATTTTTATTGTAACACAAAATTATATTAATAAAAAATACAATTATCCATCAATAGGATAAATAGCAGTATATTCTTAAAATGGAATAGTATATGAAACAAAAGTGAATACACTACTGCTACATGCAATAATGTACAAATCTCAAACAAGCAAGAGACAAAGTAATTCATGATGTATGATTAAAAATTTATATATAAAGTTTAAAAACATGCAAAAAACTACTTTATGATGTTATAAGCCCAGCAAGTGGTAATATTTGGGGAAGTGACAACTTTCTGTTACACAGAATACAATGAGAAATATAGTTCATAGATTATTTTCTCTTATGGAAACTGACAGAACAATTTTGTTTCTTGCCTCTGCATGTATTATATTATGTAAGTATTTAAAAAAATAAACTATTTAAGTCAGCAGTTGAAAACTAAAAATTACCTTCAAAGTGGATACAGTTCAATAATGATCATATCCATTTTGTATGCTAGTAAACAGAAGACAAATAGATATGTAGTAGGGCACAAGAACTACGGTTATATCTATGATTAAAATTACATTAATATTTCAGCATGCTTTTCTTTAAGTAAAGATGTGCAATAACTTGGAAAGCCTTCCCAAAGAAATCACATCATTTATTGCATTTCTATGTTTTCTCCCCTGTGAGTTCTCTGATGTACAATGAGGTTTCTTTTATAACTGAAAGACTTACCACACTCACTACAAACATAGGGTTTCTCTCCTGTGTGAGTTCTCTGGTGCACAATGAGATTTGTCTTCTGGCGAAAACACTTTCCACATTCATTACACTTATATGGTTTCTCTCCCGTATGAGTTCTTTGATGATGAATGAGATAGGACTTCCTGCTAAAAGCTTTCCCACACTGAGGACATTCATAGGATTTTTGCCCTGTATGTATTTTCTGATGTACAGTGAGGGTTGCTTTTTGGCGAAAGGACTTCCCACATTCATTACAGATATAGGGTTTCTCTCCTGTATGAATTCTCTGATGCAGATTGAGATTTGTCTTCTGACTAAACGATTTCCCACATTCATTACATTCATATGGTTTCTCTCCTGTATGAGTTCTGTGATGATCAATGAGGTATGACTTCATTCTAAAGGCCTTCCCACAGTGAGGACATTCGTAAGATTTTTCCCCTGTATGTGTTCTTTGATGTGCTACAAGGGTTGTCTTCTGGCGGAAGGACTTCCCACATTCATTACAAATATAGGGTTTCTCCTCATTATGAGTTTTCTCATGAAGAGCAAGGGTTGTCTTCTGGGAGAAGGATTTCCCACATTCATTACAAATATAGGGCTTCTCCCCTGTATGAGTTCTCTGATGTACAGTAAGGTTTGCCTTTTGGTGAAAGGACTTCCCACATTCTTTACAAATATAGGGTTTCTCCCCTGTGTGAATTCTCTGATGTAGAGAAAGTGTTGTCTTCTGGCGGAAGGACTTTCCACAGTCATTACACTCATATGGTTTCTCTCCTGTGTGAGTTCTCTGATGACGAATAAGGTGTGACTTCAATCTGAAGGCATTCCTACACTGTGGGCATTCATATGACTTCTCCCCTGTATGTGTCCTCTGATGATCAGTAAGGGCAGTCTTTAGGCGGAAGGACTTACCACATTCATTACAAACAAAGGGTTTCTCTCCTGTATGAGTTCTTTGGTGATCAATGAGATAAGACTTTCTTCTAAATGCATTTCCACATTGATGACATTGATAGGGTTTTTCCTCTGTGTGAATTCCCTGATGCAGAATCAATACAGACTTCCTGCAAAAGGATTTCCCACATTCAATGCATGTATGTTTTTTTTCAATATTGGTTGCTCTTCTCTTTTTATTATATACTGATGGGCTTTCCCCTCTGTAAGCTCTATTATGTGTAATTAAGCCTCCTTTTTTAAGAAATGATTTCTCACAGTCATGTCCAAACGACTGTGCTGGAGTTTCCATCTTCTGATACTGCATAAGTACTTCATTATGAGTGAAAGCCCTACCACCTTGACTATGGGATTTGACTTCAGGATGAGCAGTCTCTGGCTTAGTATTAAGGAGTGATTTCCCACATCCATTATATTCAATAAGTCTCTTTCTTGCAGGACTTAGATTACTGATAATTAGCTCTGAAACATTTTTCAAGATCTTTCCATTAGTGTCATATTCAGGAGGTAGATTTTTCGAATTAACAGAGTTTTTGCCTAAAATAAGTGTTTTTTCATATACGTCACTCTTCTCCTTAATCAGTTTTCTGTGGTTGATTTGTACAACTGATCTAGAGTACTTATCTTGGTGTTCCTTGAATTTCACTAGAAAGTCTTGAGCTTTCCAGTCTTCTTCTAGAAAAAAGTATAATTAACAACAATTTGTGAGTCTTCACACATTTGCTATGAAAAGGAGTAGTACTAGGGTCTAGTATACAAGATCAAAAAAGACCCAGGACAAATTATCCCCTACCTGGAAGCAAAACAAACCACAGAACCTCCACAAAAGCTCTGCTTCATTGTGGATGGATGAACAAAAGAATGAAAAAGTAAGTAATAAACACTATTAGTATCTTTTGTATTTTCCACTAGAAGAACAGAGAGATAGTAAAACAAATCATGAAGTCAAAGAATAGTGGAACAGTGACTGATGGTTGGATAAGTAAATTCAGAGACAATCAAGTGAAACTAACAAGGGCATTAATAAAGTATTAAGTAGGATGGGCATGAAAAATTAGTAGAAATGTTTATTCAGGGAAAATATTAGAAGAAGATTTACTTCTACAGGACATAGATTATGTATATAAGAGCATTTCAGGAAGTTAGTGGAAAATAAAAAACGAGGCAAGGATTGTAGATTATTTGGGGGGACAGCAGGTGGCATGGTGGTTAAGGCGCTGGACTCCTACACAGCTAACCACAGTTCAAGTCCTGGACCTGGCAGCTTGAAAAATAATGCTGAGCATGTGTGTGCACATGCCCAAAATCCCAGGAGAATGGAGAAGAAGGGACTGTATTATGGCTGTCTCCCTTGGAGGGTGATTTCTCACTTTCCCTCTCACTGTCTTTCTTTTTCTCTCTCCTCTCTGGCAAGCACATGTGCCCTATGGGGGAAAATTTTTAAAAAATATTTTAAAGGTTTACTTTTTATTTATTTATTTCAAGTTGGCTATAGGGCACATGTGCTCACCAGAGAGAGAGAGAAGAAAAATCAAAAAGTAAGCTACCATGTCCAGAACTCAAACTGTCATTGGCCATGTGGGAGTCTAATTCCTTAACCAACATACCACCTGCTGGTCTGGATTTCAGAATTTTTTGCACCCAAATAAACTAGTAGTGTAATTTTATTTCTCATATACATGTGGAGTCACTTCATACTTTTAAACATGCATCCCTAGGTTACTGTGTTAAAAATTTAATTGTTCTGAGACCACCACATGGCAGAACAATTATGTTCCTGGACTCCCACATAGTCGACTGTGATTCTAGTCCCACACCTGGCAGCTTAAAACTCATGCCGGGCATCTGTGCATGTGTGCCCCAAATCCTAAGAGGATAATGGAGAAGGGACTGTGGCATGGCCATCCCTCCTGGGGGGTGATTTCTCACTTTCTGCTTCTCTGTCTCTGTCTCTTCAGTAAGAACATGCACCCTATAGTAAAAATCTCTCTAAAATAATAATAAATAAATAAACAGATAAAATAATTCTTAAAAAGTAATCCTGTAGTTTAGGCTCTGCTTCTCCATAAATGTGGGAATCATTTTATCTTATAAATGGAAGACTAGAAAAATAGTTCTAAAAGGACTTTTAAATCAGACTGGATTACATTCAATTGCTAAATCAAGTATTTTAGAATTGTTTAATAACAAAGCTCTCTTTTTGTTTTAGGAATTATTTATTATTATTATTATTATTATTATTCAGTTTGACAAGGGAAAAACACAGAGAGAGAAAGAGAGAGAGAAAGCTGCCAGTTCTGGGACTTGAACCACAGCCTTGTGGGAGTTCAGTACCTTAACAACCATGCCACTTGCCAGCCCCAATAACAAAACTCTTAGGATCATCAATTTTTTTTTTCTTTTTAGATTTTTGCTATGGGTGTATGCACTCACTGGAGAGAGACACAGGAAGAGGGAAAGTGAAATGTCACACCATAATGGACACACTGCAATCTCTTTTCTTGGGATTTTGGGAACTGTGGTCGGCCATTCAGCAATCCAGTGCCTTAATCACCAAGCCATCCATTGGCCCTGATTAGGATCCTCTTGAAAGATACTCCTAAAATATTTCAAAGGTACCACCTATCACCTGACCTCCTTTAAAATTTGGTTTCCATTAGCGTTCATCTGCCTTGAAGTCAGAAACTCACCCAAATAGGTATGACCTACAAATGATGTCCACGGCTCTTCTCCTCGTTCCAACTTGAGGATCACATCAGGCTTGGTCATGTGACATCCTGATAACCGAAAGTAAGATTTTACTGTAATTGGCTGGACTTCAATACCTTTAGAAATGCATAAGGTGCATGTTAAGTAATGCAAATTAAGACACAATAATCTTTTCTGCTAATCAAAAGGAATTTACCACTGCTTATCCTTGAAATTCAAGATTACACATAAATTTGGTACTTTGAAAGAAAATGCATGCTAATGAGTTTTCAAAGAGTATTTCTTACCCACAGAGATGAGGTGGCAGTAGTTTTCTAACATCACATCCATATAAAGAGTCTTCTGATCTGGGTCTAGGTGTTGCCACTCCTCCTGACTAAAGTCCACAGTCACATCTTTGAATGACACTGATCCCTGTAATGGATTATGATCATAACAAGTTGACTAGATAGCAGGGTCTACTTCTAGCTCTGCTCCCTTGTGGTCTTGTACAGAAAAACTTTATATTTTTCCTGCTCTATGATATACACTATGGGGGAAACAAAAATCATGGTAAAAATGCCTGCTGCTGAATTTTTAAATAACATAGACTTTTTTATTTTTAAATAATTATTTAACTTTATTTATTTATTATTATTATTATTATTAATATTTAATTCACCAGAGAAAGAGAGAGAGAGAGGGAAAATGAGAAAGCAAGCCGCTAGGTCTGAGACTCGAACTGTAGCCAGCCATGTGCATCTTAACTAACATGCCACCTGCTGGCCCTAATACACACACTTAAAATATTTATTGTGAAATCATTTTTCTTTTTTCAGTGAAGCCATTTTATGTTCCAAACCTACATATATATTTCAAGAGAGATATTTTTGCTATAGGGTGTGTGTGCTCCCTGGAGAGACAGAGACAGACAGAAAGTGAGAAATTATTTCCCTAGGGGGATGCCCACACCACAGTCCCTTCTCCTCCAGTCTCCTCTTGGGATTTTGGGCATGCACACACACACGCCTGGCATGAGTCCTAGGCTGCTGGGTCCAAGACTCAAACCACAGACATGAGAGTTCAGTGACGTAACCATTATACCATCTGCTGGTCCCTAAAACATGTATTTATTTTTAAGAAATTATTTTTATTTAATTTCATTCACTATTTTTATTAGTTGCTATAGAACACATGCACTCACCAGAGAGAGACAGGGGTGGGAGCTGGGGGGAGTGCAAAAGCAAGCTGCTGGGTCCAGGACTCAAACTGCAGTTGGCCATGTGGAAGTCTAGCACCTTAGTCACCATACCACCTACTGGCCCCAAAAGCCTGTACTGTTTTACTGGGATGCCAAAACAAAACAGTCATTGCTCAGACATTATAGCCTGAGATGGCATGTCCTTGTAAGAAAATACATGTAAACAACAAATCTGCAATAATGTATTATTGGTATGACAGAAGAGTGAATTGGTCAGAAAAACAGTCTCTCAGAAAAATTATAAAATCTGGACACAATATATAATGAACAACTAATAGAAGGCACCAGAAAGCAACCAAAGCAGGCAGAAATCAGAGGAGAGCTTATCTTTGAAGGACAGCAACTGCAATGATGAAGAGTGATAATTCTGTGGCTTTTTTGCACGAGGATAACCTGAAACTCCTCAGTTGAAGCAGAAAACCATAGCTTCTTCAAAAGTGACATAGGCTAGGGAACCAGCAGTTAGCGTAATGGCTATGTCGCTGGACTCCCATGTAGTCGACCGTGGTTCGCGTCCTGGACCTGGTGACTTAAAACTTACACCGGGCACGTGTGCGTGCGTGCCCAAGATCCCAAGAGGAAAATAGAGGAGAAGGGATTGCGGCGTGACCATCCCCCCTGGGGGGTGATTTCTTGCTTTCTGTGTCTCTCTCTGTCTGGTGAGCGCATGCGCCCTATAGCAAAAAAAAAAAAACCTCTCAAAAGTGACATAGGCTAGAATTTAGGGCTGGCAGATGAGCTAGAAATTTAAGTTAATTCTGGGGAACTGGCAGATGGTATAATGTTTATGTTACCGGACTCCCACATGGCTGACTGCGGTTCGAGTCTTGGACCCAGAGGCTTGAAACTCATGCTAGCGCGTGACCCAAATCCCGAGAGGACAATGGAAGAGAAAGGACTGTGGTGTGGCCACACACATGGGGGTGATTTCTTGCTTGCTGTCTCTCTGGCAGGCACATGTGCCCTACAGCAAAAAATCTCTCTTAAAAAAAAAAATTAGGGGGACCAGCAGTTAGCGTAATGGCTATGTCGCTGAACTCCCACGTAGTCGACCTCAGTTTGAGTCCCGGACTTGGTGGCTTAAACTCACGCCAGGCATGTATGTGTGCATGCCCAAGATCCTGAGAGGAGAATGGAGGAGAAGGGATTGTGGTGTGGCCATCCTCCCTGGGGGGTGATTTCTTACTTTCTAGCTCTCTGTCTCTCTCTTTCTGGCGAGTGCACGTTCCCTATAGCAAAAACCTCCCCCCCCCCCAAAAAAAGACAGTTGTGAAAGAACTACAGAAAAATCTGAGAATAGACTATCAAAACATCTTTTTAAAAAAATATTTTATTTAACTTTATTCATTTATTTACTTATTTTAATTTGTCCAGAGCGAGAGAGAGGGAGAGGAAACATGAGAAAGGAAGCCACCAGGTCTAGGACTCGAACTGCAGTCGGCTGTGTGGTAGTCCAGTGCCCTTAATTACCACACCACCTCCCCCCGACTTTTTAAAAGACATATTTTTGCTATAGGGTACATATGCTCTCTGGAGAGACAGAGAGTGACAGAGAGACAGAAATCACCCCTCAGAGGGGATGGCCACAGTGCAATCCTTTCTCCTCCATTGGGATTTTGGGGATGCATACATGTACTCAGCATGAGTTTTAAGCTGCCAGATCCAGGACTCAAGCCATAGTCAACTATGTGGGAGTCCAGTGAGGTAACCATTATGCTATCTGCTGGTTTAACATATGGTTTAAACTAGTTAAACTAAGCATGTGTAGGAGAGATCACAGGGTGCTTAGCAAAAGGCAAACAGAAGCCAACAGTCTTAAAAAACAGAAGTATGCTAGCGAGACCATAAGACTTCTGCTTTTTGAATGATGGTATTCCATAATCTGCTCATAGCTAAAGGGAAGGCAACTGAAGTCTTACTGGATTAAAGTGTCGGAGTCTGGGGCAGACAATATTCACCAATTCCTTGACAAGACTACCAGTGAGAACCTACCTGCCCTTGGGGGCCAAGGTAAAAAGCAACAGCTAGGGGTCCAGCAGATGGTGTAATGAGCTCCCACATGGTTGACCACAGTTTTGAGTCCCAGACCCAGAGGCTTGAAACGCATCTTGGGTGCATGTGAATGCATGCTCAAAATCCTGAGAAGATAATGAAGAAAAAAATGATAGCAGCGTGGCCATCGCCCTGGGAGGTGATTTTTTTGCCTTTTGTCTCTCTGTCTCTCTAGAGAGCATATGCGCCCTATAGCAAAAATCACTCTTAAAAACAAAAAAGAAAAAGGCAACAGCTAGAAGCTTAAAGAAACAAGGTCAACTGCTTTACAGTGAGTGGGAAGACAAAGTTGGAGGCTTGTTCCTAATCAAGTTTAACTGCTTATCAGGAAACAAAACAAAAACAAAACAGAACAAAACCAAAACAAAATCATAATAATCATCAGAAGAACACAACATGCATACAGAATTCAGATTATTATATTATTCATGATGTCTAGGTTTCCAGCAAGTTACTAGACATGCAAACACAACAAAATAAATACAGAGTAAGGGGAATATGAGAATATAACTCTTAAGTTACAAAAAGACAATCACAGAAACTAAATCACAGAAAGTCCTGATCATGGATTTTTGCTGGGGGCAAAAGAGCTTCAAAACAGCTGTGCTAAGCATGTTCAAAGAAGTAATGGAAACTCTGGTGTGGAATCTCAAAATGGAAACTGCAAGAAAGCACCAAATGTGGGGCTAGCAGGTGGTGTGATGGTTAAGGGCGCTGGACTCCCACATGGCCGACTGCAGTTTCAGTCCTGGTTTGTTTTTTCACTTTCCCTCTCTCTATCTCTCTCACTCTGTCCCTCTCTGGTCTAATTAAAATGAATAAAAATTAAATAAAGTACTTCTATTCGTCTTTAAAAAAAAAAAAAGGCACCAAATGAACATTATAGAGCTGGAAGTCTAAAAACAGAAATAAATTTCACTAGATAGGCTCAACAGCAGAGCAGAAAGGGAAGAATCAGAAAACTTGTAAACAGATAACAGAAAATAAGCAATCTGAATAAAAATTAAAAATAAGGAAGAATTAGGGGACCAGCAGGTGGTGTGGTGGTTAAGGCACTGGACACTCTCCCACATGGCTGACCATGGTTTGAGTCCCAGACCTGGTGGCTTGCTTTCTCACTTACCCTCTCTCTCTCTCTGGTCAAATTAAAAAATAAATGAATAAATAAAATTTTAAAAAATAATAAGGAAAAATAAACAGAATCACAAAGATATGTGGGTAATTTCAAAGTAATCCAACTGAGTCCTGGAAAAGTTATAATTATTTTTTTAGGGAAATGATGGCTTAACACATCAAACTTAGCATAAACCTTTAACTTAAAAATTCAAAAAGCTTCATGAACCGTAAAAGGAAAAAAGTCAAAGAAAACCACATTTACCCAAATCCTAACTGAATGCTAAAAGCCAAAGATATTGTCAACTAAGAAGTCCATATCCAGCAATAATAGCTATTAAAAATAAAGGTAACAATGGCCAGCAGGCAGCGTGGAGGTTAAGGTGGTTGGATCTCAAAGGCCAACAGCACAGTTTGAGTCTTGGATCTGGTGGCTTGAAAATCATTCCAGGTGCATGTACACTCATGCCCAAAATCCCAACAGGAGACTGGAGAAAGGACTGCGGTGTGGTCATCCGCTCTAGGGGTGATTTCTCATTCTCTTTCTCTCTCTTGTGAGTCCATGCACACTATAGCCCAAACTGAAAAAAGGTAACACAAATCTCTTTTCAGGTAAGGGCTGAGGGAATTCATCACTAGCAGGACTGTACTAAATCAAAATGCTAATAAATTTCTTCAGGCTAAGGTAAAAATAATACTATATTGGGACCAGCAGGTGGCATGAATTTTAAGATAGCTGAATCCCAAATGGCTGACTGCATTGTTCAAGTCCTGGACCCGATGGCTTGAAAAAATCACACCTGGCTCATGTGTATGCCTGTCCAACATCCCAAAAGGAGAGTGGAGAAGGGATTGCAGTGTGGCTGACCCTCTAGAGAGATGATTTCTCACTTTCCTTCTATCTGTTTCTGGTGAGTGCACACACTCTATAGCAAACTAACAAAAAAGGTAACTAAGGTCTAGCAGGGAAGAGGATGAACAGTTATACATAGAATACTATAAATGGGCC